TGATAAGGCCTCTCTTGGGTATATTCCCAAGAGTGGTATTGCTGGGTCCATGGGTAGGTTGATCCCGAATTTCCTGAGAAACCTCCACACTGCTTTCCAGAGTGGTTGCACAAGTTTGCATTCCCACCAGCAATGGATGAGTGTACCCCTTTCTCCACAACCTCTCCAGCAAAGGCTATCATTGGTGTTTTTGATTTTCGCCATTCTGACAGGTGTAAGATGGTATCTTAAAGTTGTCTTGATTTGCATTTCCCTGATCACTAAGGAAGTTGAGCATGACCTTAAGTGTCTTTTGGCCATTTGAACTTCTTCTGTTGAGAGATCTCTGCTCAACTCAATACCTTCTTATAGGACCCAGGACCACCAGCCTGGGATAGCACCACCCAAGGCCCTCCTCCATTGATCCCTAATGGAGAAAATGCCTTCCTTACAACTGGATCTCATGGAAACATTTCCTCAACTGAGCGTCCTTCCATTCTGATGACTCTAGCTTGTGTCAAGTTCATGAGAAACCAGGCTATACAACTGTCCCCTGGTCAACTTGACACACACTATCAAGTCTCAGCCTTGCTTTCTTATTCATCCCCAAGATATCACATTAAAAATATAAGTGATTTTGCAAGTCCCATATTATTTACAAATACAAACATAATAAAATTTTAGTATCTTCAAAATATCCAATCTGTTTTAAAAGTTCAAGTTTCTCATCTGTGGGTTCCTTTAAAGATCAAAATTAAATTAAATGCCTTCTTCAAGAGGGAGGAACCAGGGCACCAACACAATCTTAAACCAAGCGAAACCAAACTCCCACAGTATAAATAGCTCCGTGCCCAATTGTCTGGGATGCACTCACCATCTTCTGGGCTCCTCCGAAGGGCTTGGTCACTTCTCCAGCTCCACCCTCTGCAGCACACACCGCTGTCTTCCAGGCTCCGGCTGGCTCTGCTCCCCCACTGCTGCTGTTCTTGGTGGTCATCCCATGGCACTGGCATCTCCAAAACGCTGGGGTCTCTGCTGCAACTGGGCTGCACTCTCACCAGCAGCCTCTCAAAGGCTCTTTTCACGGTGTCAAGCCTCAGCTTCTTTGAATCACTCCCTCAGTCCTGGGCCTTCAACTCCCTCAGTCCTGGGCCTTCAACCACCACTGAGGCTGCACCAATGGCCTCTCGTGGTTTCTCACAGTGACAAGTCTCAGCTGTGACCCCTTCATGCCTTCAAAACCAGTACTACCTGGATGAGTCTTATACATCACCAAATCCTGCGCGGCCAGCTTTGGTTTGGTTTCTCAAGACTGGGTTTCTCTGCGTTGCTTTGGAGCCTGTCCTGGAACTCGCTCTGTAGATCAATCAGGCTCACCTCAAACTCACAGAGACCCACCTACCTCTGCCTGCCGAGTGCTGGGATTAAAGGCGTGCTCCACCACTGCTCAGCTGCTGGTCTCTTCTTAATCACTGCTAATTCCTTAGCTCCAGCTGACCTGTGTCAAGTATCCAAGCAAAGCAAAACTATTTTAGCAATTTTTGGTATCTTGTTAATCACTGCTGATTCTTCAACCCGAGCTAACCAGGATCATGGGATGTTAATTCAAAATAACAAACAGACCTGAGTCTTTAAACTTCTCAAGCCTGATCTCTATCTTCTGCACTGCTCTTAACATTCTTATCTCAAAGCTCCCACAGAACATCCTCAGAGCTCTTAACACTAAAAGACTCTTCTATCCCCAAGTCCCAAAGTCCTTCCACAATCCTCCCCAAAGAATGGTCAGGTCTACCACTGCAATACCCCACTACGCTGGTACCAATATGTCTTAGTTACGGTTTCCACTGATGCAACAAAACATTTATGACCAAAAACAAGTTGGGGAGGAGAAGTTTATTTGGCTTATACTTTCACATCGCTGTTCATCACTGAAGGAACTCAAGGACAGGAACTCAAAGCAGGGCAGGACCCTGGAGACAGGAGTTAATGCTGAGGCCATGGAGGGGAGCGGCTTACTAGCTTCCTTCCCATGGTTTTATCAGCCTGCTTTCTTACAGAACCCAGAACCAACAGCCAAGGGCTGGGACTTCCCACACTGACCACTATTAAGAAAATGCCTTACAGCTGGATCTCATGGAGGCATTTCCTCAGCTAAGGTTCCTTCCTCTCTGAAGACTCTGGCTTGTGTCAAGTTGGCATAAAATCAGCCAGTAAGAAAAACCAAGGCCAAAAAACAACTAGGCACACTCCAAACTCTGCATCTCCGTGTCTGATGTCAAAACGCACTTCAGGTCTCCAACTCTGCTCAGTTTTGTTGACTGCAACATATTTCTTCTCTTGGGCTGACTCTACTCCCTGTTATCAGCTCTCCTCAGCAAATATTCCATGGCTCTGGCACCTCCAAGATCTCGGGGTCTCCAAAGCAATCCAGGCTTCAACTTCACAACTCCACACAATGACCCCTCTAGGCTTCCATGCAGGGAAACCCCAATACATACCTAGCCTCATCAGCTTTTCTTAGTTGCAGAATAATATTCCATACCCAACCCCTTTCCTCTACCCTTAAAGCTAGAACCATGTGGCTAAGTATAGGCAGAAGCTGCTCATTCATTTTCTGGCTGCCACACCTGAATAATCACACAGAAACTATATTAATTACAACACTGCTTGGCCAATAGTTAGGCATATTCCTAGCTAATTCTTAACCCATTTCAATTCATCTGTGTGTCACCACAAGGCTGTGACTAACTGATGGTAAGGTTCTGGCTGGCATCTGAGTCCTTCTCCTTCAGCAACTACATGGCATCTCTCTGATTCTGCCTACTTTCTCTCTATATCTCTGTTCGGATTTCTTGCCTGGCTTTACTTTACTAAGCCATTGGCCAAAACAGCTTCTTTAATAATCAATGATAATAAAACATATTCATAGCACACAGAGGGAAATCCCACATCAGCTAAGGCTGCCAAGTTCTGCTGCTAGCTAGGGCTAGGACATGGCCCCTTATTCAATTACATCTGCACCAACTTCCTGGTTTTGATGGTTTCCTTCACTGCCTAAGTTTGGCTTTTCCTGAAACTGGATCTGTAGTCCAGACTGGCCTCAAACTCAGGCATCTGCCTCTACCTCTGGTGTGCTGGGATTAAGAGCCTGTACCGCCGCCTCTGATTTCAAGTTTTTCTTTAATTCCATTCACAAGTTGGAAATTTAGCTGGGTGGAATTTTGCCCTGAGGTCACCACTCCCTTTATTCCATTTCTTAATTTGTTTATCTCCTTAAACACAGCTCCATTCCACTTCCTGGAGCTCCTTCTCTCCTCAAATTGTACATTTTGTATTTTTCATTACTCAGCCTTCTCCTTTTCATTATAAATCTTCATTAGAGTTAACACTAATAACTACACAACACAGTCTATACCAGACTGTTTTGAGATTTCATTTGTCATCCGAATCAATCTAAAACTCAGGCAGACACTTTGGACAAGGAAAAAAAGCAGGCCACACTTCTTAATATTGCCACTTACTTTAAGGGCCATTTTCCTTCACACATATGGAAACCTATTAATTTGTAAGTTAATTTTAAAATTAAAAAATAAGAATTAAAAAAAGAATGAGTTCAACAGATTCACAAGCTTAAAAAAAAGCACAAAAAGACACTGTTTTTCTATGCAGCAAAAATGAAGGCATAGAAACAAAGAAAAATGCAAAATCATTTATAGTCACTCAAGTCAATTTTTAGAACATATTTCAAAACTGAAAACTCAAATATAAATCTCACAAAAAATGCATACAGAGCTTGTCTTCTGAACTGCAAAATGCTAGTTAAAGATTCAGTCAACTTCTAAACAAAGGAGAGTCCTCCAAGTCTGCAGAATGCGAGACTCGACATAAAGATACCAACTACCCTCACCTGATATTCACACTGGACACACCTCTTCTCAAAAACCCCGAAAAATTTTTTCTGATATTAAAATTATGCTAAATTTTATATGACAAAGCACATGGCTAAGACAATCTTGTAAAACAAAGCAAGAAGAAGCATACTAAATGACCTCAAGACTTGCTTTGTAAGCTACAATGACCTGTCTGGTACTGATATCAGGGAGATGAACACATAGACCAATGAGATAGAACAGGGGGGCCAGCATCTTCAGTGCTTGTGAATGTGCTGGCTGGCTTGGTTTCTTGTGCTGTGACTGTAATAAAATCTTTGACAAAAACAACTCAGGGCAGAAGGGGTTTTCCTGGCTCACAGTTCAAGAGTCCAGTTCATCCTGCCAGAGGTTGAGGCAGAGGAGCTGAAGGTGGATGGCCACACAGTGCCAGTGCCTAGAGCCAGAAGACAGGAATAATAAGTGCATGACGTTAGTGTTCAGCTGGCTTTCTTCACTCTCACACAGTGCAGGATTTCCCACTCAGGGAAAAGAAAGGCGCTACCTACAATTAAGATGGGCCTTCTCACCACCATTAAGTTAATCAAGACAACCCCCACAGGCATTCCTAAAGGGACATTGTTCAGGTCATTGCAGAGAGAATAGATGGATGATGAACACTCACCACCATACAAAGATACAAAAACAGTTCAATGGCCAAAGTCTTACCAGAAAGTGCTGGAGAAATTGGATATTCATAGTAAAACAAAAACAAAAACAGGCCCAACTCCTATCTGACATTTTACACTAAAATTAACTAAAAGTTGATACATATTTAAATGTTAACATAAAACTAGAAAACTTTAAAAAGAAACCAGGGAAATCTTTGAAACTTGAGGTCTCATAAGGAATTCTTATACAGGGCACACACACACACCATCAATAAAAATCTTCAATAAATGGGACTTAAAAATATTAGAAACTATAAAGTTTGTTAAAGGAATGAAAATGTAAAGTACGGACACGGAAGGACACTTGAAATGGCACAAGGGACTCATATCTACCGCACACAGATGCCCCTTGACTTGTAGAGACTATGTCCTGATTGATCCCAACATTAATGGAAAAGATTCTATGTTGACGATGCTTTCACTGTACCTGATCTACAGAGCATCACAGTCTGGCCTAGGCCACCGTAAGTGTGCTCTGCACACCTGCACAGGCCCAGGATTGGGCTACATCATCCATCACAGCCTACTTATGCAACATTAATATCTAAGCTAACATCACAAAGGTACACTACAGAGTACAGATCTGTTGTTGTCCCTTGTAACTAACAGTAAATTTTAAATCAAGCCATGCTAAAAAATGGGGACCATCTACAAACCTGCAAAATCCAACAATAAGAAAAATACTAATTTAATTAGAAAACAGTCTAAAGCTGCAACTGGGACCCTTTCCTCCAACTGGGTTGCCTCATCCAGGATTGATATGAGGGTTTGTGCCTAGCCTTATTGTAACTTCTTATGCCATATACAGTTAATATCCCTGGAGGTGTTTGTTTGTTTGTTTGTTTGTTTGTTTGTTTGTTTGTTTTGCAAGGAGGGGGAGTTGATCTAGAAGAAAGAAAAGGATGGAAACTAGAAGTGGAGGGAGAGGAAACGGCAGGCAATATGTAATGTATTAGAATAGAATAAAAAACTAATCAGGCAAAAGACATTGTAATTTCATCAAAGAGGACATGTGAATGTCATAAGTTTAGCCAGTAAGATGCGTAAATTAAGACCAGTATGAGGCATTATTATTGCAACAGCCCAAATAATAATTAGTGATATGAATACCAAATGCTGGAGATGGGAGACAAACTGGATCGCCTACATTCTGTGAAATCATACAGTTACCTTTCTTATTGTAGTGGCTTGAGACTTCTGAGACAGGGTCTTCCTACCTCATCCTAGGTGACCTAACTCTTGCTATGAAGCCCAGACTGCCTTCTGACTTATGGAAGTCCATCTTCCTTAGCCTTCCAAGTACTGTGACTATAGGCATGTGTCTCCATGTCTGAAAGGTAGCTGTCCTTGGAAACAGTTTGGGAGTTTAATGTTTAAATAAGAATAATAATTTAAATAATATTTAAATAAACAATTTAAATGTTTAAACAAATAATAATTTACTCTTCATGCTCCTACTCTGGAACATGCGGATTTCATCGAGGCTGAATCCCGACATCCTGAGAAGTCAATGTTTTTTAACGGTATGTCCCTTGATAAGACTCCAGGGAACAGCCTTACCCTCATGACCATATAAGCAGCACAAACCAAACTCTATGGGTTATAAAGAAACAAAAGAAGGACGTCATACTGGGAGGGGTGGGTCTGAAAAAAGTAAAGGGAAAGAGTTGAAGTAAATATAATAAAAAATACATTGTATGCACAGATGAGATTATTTTTAAATTAATTAAAGTGTTATATTAAAAATTAATATACATGCAAGAAAATCTACCAAAGGCATGCAGGATATTGATTTCAGAGACATAAAGACGGAAGTCCACACCAAAAAAATGGACCCAGTTATTCATAGCAAACATTTTCACTATCCTGAAACTAAAAATAACCAAACTGTCCTTTGGGTCCGTGGGTTGAACCACCCACGGTACAACATACCCTGGAATAGTATTCAGCAATAGAAAATAGCACAGACTTGAATGGCATTTGGCTAAGTCTCAAGGACATTAGGATGAATGAAAAGACCCTGTTTTAAAAGGCCACATCTAATGTGACAATGGCCATGAGTGTAACATGCTCAAAATGGCAAAATTATAATGATAGAAGCAAGATGAATGGCTGCAAGGTAAGGTAGGGAAAAGGCAGGAAAAAACTGTGAAGAAGTCATCCTCGAAAGCCTTGGGACTGACGGGGTAATTCTGCAGCTGGGGTCTGGGAGTGTGGACTCTGTGTGAAGCTAGAGATGAGGCAGGCTGCCCTCCAGTCGTACACACAGGCACCAGCATCTCTTTCCTGGCGTGGTGTAGCATGAGGTGGCCACTTCAGGGAGGTGGGTGAAGGAAACGTCCCCCATCTCCAGCCTAGAGCTTTCATTCAAATTCTAGATCTGTATCTATTACTACTCATTGAATGCATACAAGATCAGGAACCTTGCCAAGCTCCTGCGTACCAAGCTGAAGAAAGCCTCACCCTTGCTCACATGATTCTCTCTGCATGCTGCGGATGACACTGCGTCTAGATGTCAAGACTTTTGACATGTCTGCAAGCCTTCTGTTCCATTCACCAAGGCAAACAGATGATAGTCCTCTGTCCCTGCAGCCCCACCGAGTGCACCTGAGCACACACTGCCAAGTCTCATCTTTAGGAAAGCTCGCTGCAAACGTTGCCTCTTTAAAAACACAAGTTCACACCTAGACGAGGCCTCCATCTTTGTGGTTCCCCGACCTGTGTCTGCACTGTGCTTTTTCTCCTCCCTTCCTTTTGCCCTCTCTTGTCCTTAGTTTGTTTCTATGGCTCCCACAGTACCCCCACCACAAACAGAAATAAGAAACGCATTTTCTCCTTCATGGTTCTGAAGATTGGAAGTGCAAAGCCAAGGTGTTGGAGTGCCCCAAGCTCGTTGGAGGGTCCAGGGAGGATTCTGCTGCCTTTCACAGCTGGGTGGTGGGGAGCTTCTCTAACAAGGGAGGTCCCCATGACACTTTCTGTCGTGCCTTACAGTTTGCTGTGGGACTTAGTGAATCTGGAGGGGACTTGCATTTCTTTGCTGCTCTATGAAACTTCTTTGCCCAGAAAAGTCCTGAGCAGGAGCCTGGGGTGACGAGGAGGCTTCATCACCTTCCTGTCCAATACCATGGTCGACAGTGACATGTGCCACTGAGGACTTGCAAGTGAAGCTAACGTAACTCGGGAACTAATGTTTGACTTTTACCTACGGAGTTTTAAGCCTCCACTGAAATCCTGGGCAGACTAGAGCTGCCCTGTGGTGGCCGCAGCTCTCTATGCCCACATCCGGGTTTGGACAAGGGGACGAAAGCCCTGTCATACCGATTCCTTTCAACACATCCGCCAACCAAAGAGAACATTTCTGGCAAGCTCTTCACTACGCTAAGCAATGTCTGAATGAGAAACTGTAACCTTTATATTTCATATATAGTCCTAATAATTTTGGTTGTCAATAGCATCATCTGTGAGAACAGCCTCCATTGAGGAATTGCCCGGGTCAGACTGGCCTGTGGGCATGTCAGTGGGGGATTTCTTGATTATGAACTGGTACGGGGGGCAGTCCCCTGTGGACAGCATCATGGGTAGGTGGTCATGGACTGTATAAGACAAGATACACAAACACGAACCTATGGGTGACACAGTAAAGAACGTTCCTCTGTGGTGCCTGCTTCAGGCTTAAGTTCCTGCCCTGACTTCCATGGAAGACTCACTGTGACCTGGAGGTACTAGGCAAAAAAAAAAAACAAAAACAAAAACAAAAACTTTCTTTCCATAAGGTGCTTTTGGTCAGACTGCAGAATGAAACTAGAATATATATGCTACTTTTTTGGCCTTTGCCATATGGAAATTTAAATTTAGGTGGGAACGCTAATATCTGGGCATGAATTCCTTTTAAAATATCTTTATATTGTATTATACAGGTTGGCTAAGCAATGAAAGGCGGTCTTTATGTTCCTCCTTACCCAAATGTCTTTCAAAAGCACTGTCCTGGTTTGTTGTTTCTGTTTTGTTTTTTTCAAAACAATCAGTTCTTCAAATCAAATAACTGAAAAGAATTGCTGTAGAAAACAGAAGAACCGCGAGGCACAAAGGATTTTCAAAACTGAAGTTGCTT